GGAGAAAATATGTTCTGGTTTTCCCTCTGATATACTCCCACTGCTCTGCATCACATTCTAGCAGATAGCATTACTTGTTGCTAAAGTACGTTTTCTGACAATGTTTAACCCTATTAAATAAACTGTGCTCGATTTTTTATATTTTCCAAGTGGTTTCTTACTTTCAGACTAGTTGACAAGCCTGAATTTAAATTGAGTGGTTAATTGAGTCACCAGGAACATTCCTAATTCCGGCTGTAGATTCCGGTTCAACATGGCGGACTTCACCTCTAATGATAAAAATGTCATTCTAAGGTAATGAAAACAGAACAATACTTATTTTCAGGTAATTATACACTAATGAAAACATACCTATGAATAGGTGTGTTTTCTGGTTAGACTCCCCCATCTCTATTTCCAAATTCCAAAAAAAACCAAGACGAAATAGCAACTGAAGCCAGAACCTGAGAAGTGCTTTCCAGAGATGCTGCTAATGGCTTTTTATTTCTGTTGACCTTGTGTTATCGACACTATGTGAACTTGAATGCGCACAGCTGTTTCCTTTTCCTCTGTCAAAATGAAAAACTGCTCTAAGCCTCTTAAGAATGTTACAGAAATGTCCAAAAAGCCAGCAGGAGAGAGACTCTTCAAACGGTCAGACAGAAAGAAACGTCTTTTTCATTTTCAAAACTCTAAGCTGCCTGTATGTGACTGGGAGTGTAAATATGTGCAAATGAGTGTCAACATTCTGATAGGCTGATACATAAAGCATGCTTGGATACATTTCATCCCCCTGCAATGGACGATAATGCCCACAAATAACATTCCAGTAAGTCAAAGGAACATTTTACTAGAAGACTACAAGCAAATTACAAGCCAGTTCCCAGGTAGTCCTGTGGGCGGGCTGTTTGTGTGGAGCAACAGAAAGGACTGCCAACTAGCACAACGATAAAAAACTCAGTTCAAATGCAAAATAAATCAACCAGACTGAAAAATCGAATAAAACAGAAATTACATATTATTACACACACGCATTACCATCATCCACCCACCAGACAAAACAGAGTTTTTCTTCAAACTGAATGTTCTCCGCTCTGCTGTGTCTTTTTCTATTTCAGCCAGTTACTCTTTCCTTCAGTTACTCACTCTTCACACCAACACTCAGCTGGGAATTTAGTTTGATAAGCAAAGTTAATAAAAGACTGATAAACAACCAAATCGCACTTCTTGAACCACAGGAACTAAATTAGGAATCTTTTAGAAATTCCATTAGCATTTCCATTGCATCTGAAGAAGTGTGAAAATTAGGTAAATTAGATCGATGACAGATTTAAAAAGCAATGGCAACTTTTGAGATGCAAAACAACACAGTCATGAGTTGTCCAATGTATTTGTATATTTGTAACCGCCATACAATCAGAAAATTGTATTCATCTTTTTTTTTTTACTTCCTTGTTTCTGGAGGTTTCCACTGGTGTAGTTCCAGAGTTGCTCAAAAGTCTCTGTGAAAAGTCAGTCTGTTTGGGTCTGAGTTACAGCGGCACAAGAAAAAACACAAGCATGCGCTATCTTTGGAAGTTTGATTTCAGTCTGTTCTTGCAACTTTCTGACCCAAACAACTGATCTGCGGCGTGTGGTCTTATGCACAGGAATACGGACGTTCTGTCTGACGGCCATATGCGGAAGCAAACAGCGCTTTGATTTCTAGTTCGTGTGCACTTAAAGAACCAGTGTGTAGGACTTGTGGCATCTAGTGGTGCTGTTGCAGAGCGCAACCTTCGTTTTTCGCCCTTTACTTCCAAGCGTGACAGAGTAACTACGGTGGCCATGTATGGAAATGTAGGGAAAACCACGGACGCCCCTTTCTAGAGTCAATGTTTGGTTTTTCCGTTCTGGGCTAGAAGAAACACATCAAAATTAGGGATTTTGGATGCAAAGAAAAACCCACAAGCAACTTCTGCTGAAATACACGCTTCTCTAGAAAAAAGTGGAGTGGCTGTTTCAAGATGTACAATAAGGAGGTACTTCAACGAAAATGGGCTGCGTGGTAGAGTCGCTAGAAAAAAGCCTTTACTGCCTTTAACGCCACAAAACAGCCCGCTTGCAATATGCCAAACAGCACCTAGACAAGCCTCAAAACCTCTGGAAGAAAGTCATTTGGAGTGATGAGACCAAAATTGAACTTTATGGTCACAACCACAAACGCTATGTTTGGAGAGGAGTCAACAAGGCCCATGATGAAAAGTACGCCATCCCTACTGTGAAGCATGGAGGTGGATCTCTGATGTTTTGGGGGTGTGTAAGCTACAGCAGCGCAGGACATTTATTTTTAAATTGATGGAAAGAGGAATGCAGCATGTTATCAGAAAATATTGGAGGACAATTTGCATTCATCAGCCCGAGAGCTGCGCATGGGACGCACTTGGACTTTCCAACATGAAATGATCCTAAACACAAGGCCAAGTTAACCCTCCAGTGGCTCCAGCAGAAAAAGGTGAAGGTTCTGGAGTGGCCATCACAGTCTCCTGACCTCAGTATCATTGAGCCACTTTGGGGAGATCTCAAATGTGCCGTTCATGCAAGACAACCCAAGAATTTACAGGACCTGAAAGCTTTTTGCCAAGAAGAATGGGCAAAAAGAGGACCTCATCCACAACTATCACAAAAGACTGCAAGCTGTCATTGATGCTAAAGGGGGCAACACACAGCATTAAGATGTAAGGGTGTGCAAACCTTTGAATGGGGAGCTATGTTTTGTTTATTGATTGGGCTATTCTGTGATGCCTTATAGTTTAATTTGAAGCACACTAAAAATAAAAAAAATGTTTTTGGCTTACTCACTCATGTTTTCTTCATAGAATGGTACACATTTTACAAATTCTGCCAGCACAACTGTATCTATGAATATTAAATTTATTTATGACAATAGATCCTGTTATGTGTGATAGATTCTTTCAAGATGGGCTGTTTTTCTGCTGCCCCCATCCACAGTAGTACATTGCTCTGCTTCTGTGCTCGGACGCTGACCGCCAAACAGTAGGTTATAAACTGACTCTGGATAAGTACCTCATACAACCCCACTTTGAAATACCCAAACAGTCTTTAACTGTCAGGATTGCAAAAATCTTAATTCCTAAAGGTTCTCAACAGGGATTACACCAGTTCTAGCCACACTTTGCTCATATCTTACCTCATTTCTGATCTCACCAGCTATTTTAACAGGCTGATGGTCATTCTTGGCCTCAGTCTTTAAATGCTTGACATTTCTTCAGGTCATCTTATGATGTCAGGTGATCATGTGGCAGCACCGACTGGCTGAACAAACAGTGGTGAGCTGGTTATAAGTCTCATGATCCAGCCAAAACTCTTCAATCTGCTCTTTGTCCCATATCTTTTCCTCCTCTCACTTTCTTTCCCTCTATGCTGCTCCCGCAAGCCATCAGAAACATTATTAGTGTGTGTACTTACTACTTACTGATGTATTTGTTTCATTTCTAATCAAATATAACTATCAATATTATTGCTGTTATCATTATCATAATTGTTTCTTAATATTAACTATCAAGATGGTTAATATTAAATTTGAGTGTAATTATCACAGTATTCTTTATATTCACGTAATTTTATTTCTATAACATAACATTACCCACACCTTAATTAATCAAATCTAATTTATACTCCCAGACTCTAATCCTATCATACATCATTGTAATGGTTTTATGTTACTGTCTGTATGTCTGTCCTGTATATCTATCTTGTTTTTCTCCTAGATTTTGTCATGCAATTCAGCTCCATCCAGGAAGTTCCAATCGCAGTAAGGAATGCAAATTCAACCATTCCCTGTGAATTCTGCACGACCTTGAAAATTTGTCCAATCCCGTCAACTTGGCAAATGTCCAATCAACCAATGATTGCAGTTTTCTGCGAGATCCACCAATCATAGCAGTCTTCCTGCGCAAAACGTTGAGCTGTACGTCAGCAAACTATAGTTGCCTACAATTTTTAATGAATTATAGAAAAAATGTCACAACTACTTTTGTAATTTAAACTTTCTCTCGCATTTTAATTATTATGCTAAAATTACTGCCACACGCATCTCAACTTTTTGTAGAATATCTGTTGTGAAATCAGGCATTTCAAGTAGGGCTGTACCATTAATAGAAATATTATCGAAATCGCAATATGCAAATTGAAGAAGCTGTAATAATCCCCCAAAATATTTCACTAATTTAAAAAAAATATTCTCTTGTAGGTCTGTTCTGTGACACACTCCCTCTCCTCCATGTATGTTTATGGTACCTTTATGCAATTTTCAATGCAAAGTTTGTTGCATTGAGCTGGACGGACCTACTGAGAATGACCTGTCAATCACAAGGTAGCCACGCCCTAAACCTTACCCTGCTTTATGGAAGAAGACTGAAACTAGAGACTGAGACCATAAACTCATTAGGAAACTGTTTAATCAAGTGAGAAGTCGCCTCATTTCCCCATTAGCATGGTATTGTTTTTTATTGCAGCCAATGGAGCTCCCCCTGTTGGCCTTCACATAGAATGCAGGTTTAAGACACTTTGCGATAGCTTAACTTCACAGATCCGGAAGCTCTGTCCAATATATATATATATATATATACTGTCAATATGTTGGACGTATAAACGATAGAGCATTTTTCTATTGTCATACTGCACAACAATACATAGGAACCATGTTTACAATTGCATTGTTGCTATTCCGTTATAGTTTTAAAGTCACCCTCCAGTCAAAAAACTTTTTTTCTTCTGGTTCCAGTGTCATGTTTGTATGTGCAGAGTTTGACACTAGAAGAATGTCTGCATTTGTGGAAAAAACACAGACTGTTTGTATATGTCATAATAAATGTCTGAAAGGGGGTCTTTAGGCAGCCCAATGGAAGCCGAAACCAATCCTACTAGCAAACATGGCGGACATTTGTAACAATAACTTATAACATATTTGTCAGAATTATAATCTGTAGGTCAAATAAAAGTACTTTCAGCTTTTTCAAACCTTCACGAAGCTTCTTCCAACTCCCAAATAGTCAAAATATCAGTAACCTAGAGCAGCATTCAAAGATATTCAGTGAGGACGTGTGAAGACATGGCTTCCTGCTGGGTGGATACTAACCAGCCCTCCCAGTTACACAGGACACTGGCTCCCTGTCACAGCTGACACGTGACTAATTTTAGCCAGTTATTTGACCTTGGGTGCCTAGGCATCCTCATAACCAGAGGCAACCCCCCCCAGCAGGCATCACAAAAATAACAAAAAACCGGATGACTAAGCCTACATCAAATTTCATCTTCATTCATGCCCACAAAAATACCCACAAACCACACACACAACGCTGTTCTGCTTCCCTTTTTCAAACGTCCATTGTCGGTGTCATTGTTAACATGCTGTTTTTATCCTCTTTGGAGGGGTGTGTGTGTGTGGTGCGTTCTATGGTGCTCAGAACGTGAATAAGGCCTGGCTGCCATTGTAAAATACAAAAGGGTACAAAAAAAAAAAAGGTTATATATTACTTTAATAAGCATAATTATTTATTTAATTACGTACAATTTGTGACAATTAACACTCACATAAAGTTGTTTATTTTTAGAGTATTTGGATTTGTCTCTATAATGTTTTATTAAGATATTATCAACATATTTACACCCAGAGGGCCACATTCAATACATTAAAGTGCCTTAAAGGGGAAAATGAAAAGGTGAATAAAATCCCATTGCACTGTATTAAATTTATACAATTAATGTTTTATTCTGAAAAATTCCAGCAGCATCACATTTTGAAGAAAAATAAGACCAAAAAACTGACCGATGTTAGCAATGGCTCGCAAAGTAGTAATTCCAATTATGAAAGAATAGCCTGCAAAGAGAGAATAATATCTCAACAGTTCCATATAATGTAGTGATAACACCAGCATAACTTACATATTGACAGGGCAGCCGGGGCAGCTAAATTGACTCGGCATGGCTTCCACATATTTGGGAATGAAAAATAAACAACTGTAATTTAATTCTTACAACTCTCAATGTTGTTGTATTTGTTTAGTTATTAGTTTGGAGTCCTGGCCTGATTGTGGCTGCTACATGCGGCACTTGGATTTAAAAAAAAAAAAAAAAAAATATAATTATTGTGTTCTTGTGTGTTTAAGCAAGCTTACAGGAATACAATGCAGCCTTGGATAATTTAATTTTAATGGTTGTTTGTGTTTTTGTGTATGCAATAGGCTAGCGTGCTGCTAGGCTAGGTATGCGCATAAAAGTGGGTCATACCAACATAAAGTAAATCAGACTGCGGCCAGGGTAGAGAGCAGCTTTCCTGCCGATCACAGAGTTCAACAAAGGTTGGACACCTCATGCAATTATTTGTTTAGCTTTGTGTGTGTGTAATGTTCAGCTCGGAGAACAGTTTAGTAAATAAGCGCTCAAGTACATTACCTGAAGGGAGTTGAGAGCTATAAACGGATTTCTAGATTAACTTACATTGGTCCGTGTTGTATGGCACATTCCTCCTACACACCGACAGACAGACCCCTTCCCCTGGACACTCTCTCTCTCTCTCTCTCAATCATCTCTCTCTCTCTCTACTCTACTCTCATAGTAGAATGTGTTGAATGTGTGATGATGTGTGGCTGTGGTTTGTGGCCGCCGCTTGCCACGCAGGGAGACTTATAATTGAATCGACAGAAGTAACTTATAGGCACCGTACTGAATGGATGAGGGAGGAGACACTTCAAAGTCTGTAACAACTCCTATGTTAAAAGGAATGGCGTGAAGCTGATGACAAGTGTTCTGTTGAAAAGTAGGTCAAAACGTCACAGCTCCCTCTCTCCTCTACTCAGTCCCCCTCACAATGGGATGAGCCCATTGTTGGGTGATATAAATGATAATGAGAGTATTTACAACCAGTTGAACAGAAAGTAATAATGGGTGATCTGGTGTAAGTCGGCAGGAAAATCAATTCAGTATTTTGTGTGCATTAATCAGATGTAGAAAGATACATACGTTAGGGCCGTAGCCAAGATATTATGAGAATACAATAAAAGTCATAAGCCCAAAAAAATGTAAACTAAAAGACCCCCCAGATGTGGAAATTTTTGGTATTTTTTCAGAGAATTTACCCAAAACAATGATATTTGATAAATATCAAAATCAATAATCTTTTTATTAACCATGTAAAGCAAAATGTGACAACATGCTTAAGTTAGTGTGAACCATCAAACATATATAAGCAATGGACGTACACATCTCCCATCTACCAAAAATGGAAATCCAAACTATCCTGGATAGCGACTGCCCATCTATATTGCATTTGGAGATCTATGTGCAGTAGTGATTGATCATCCCAATATAGATGCACTGAGGTTCCTTCCTTCCTCTCCTTCTTTCTGCCACTTCTATACATGTCCCATTAATGCATGATTATAACTTCACTTCTTCCCCGGAGTTCTTGTTGTTTATCGTCCTGCAGGTTCTCATGGGGATCCTGTGGAGCCTCCTGCCATATACACTGCATAGACATAAGCCATTGACTAAATATACACTGATATTAATCGTATAATTATTATTAGTTGTTATATAACTAATATGTTCTATGCTGCGTGCTGTTGTCGCATGGTCGCTAGATCCACCCGTCGTATTCTGCTTCAGCCGTACGTCACCGTCTTTTTCAATGATCGTCATCGCATTGCATGATTGAATAGTAATTGCTTGCTTTCTTATGTTGCTGATACATCGTTGGGTCTCTCTGTTTTCTCTCTGCTCTCTCTCTGTCTCCTCTTCTCTAAATCTTCTATTCTTCTCT